ATGGTGCTGTTGAACAATAGATGGCTCGAATTACGTCTTTTGGCATCTGCAAGAAAAACATTTATTTTACGTAAGAGATTTACCTTTATTCGAATTGAGCATTATTATATTCCGTTTATCGTCTTTACGACTGTGCGAATAGAGACTGCAGTCCATTGACTTGTGTTTCAAAGGGGGAGAAACTTATTATTAGGTACAAACAGAAGAAGTAATTCGGAGTATTTTGAGTAGACTGGGGAATAATAAAGGCAATCCCAATACAGTTATGTGGAGTATTAGGAGCTAATCTCAGGATTCAAGACTCCAATTGTTATTCGTAGACTCAGATAATCCAATTCGATCTAGATTGTATCATTGTGCTGTGTTTGCTGCACATAAACGATCGGTTGGGATCAACAGACCAAGCGGTACTTTATGTAGACAACTATCATTTAAAATAATGGGTCCCATTGTAATCGAGTGTAACATAGTTTTTTTGCCGTTGCCTAAAGAGCTGGACACTACTACCCAATACACGTCATTATAAATATGTTTATCGACCCTGACAATATTTGAGTTCAATGGCCTCTTCCACACACACAACGGAAGATGTTCAACTATCCATCGTTCAGTCATCTCCCAATCCCGTTTATGAGCTCTACCCCCATCGCTGGTATGGTCTTACACTACTCTTTTTCCTCAACCTTACGAACAATCTCTATTGGCTTACGTTCGCTCCAGTTACGGAAATATCCGCAAATTACCTTGCGGTGTCAGACACGGCTGTGACTCTATTAGGGACTATTTTTCTTATAGTATTTGTCATAATGTCACCATGTGCTGGCTTTATGTTGGATAGATGGGGATTGCGAAAGTCTTTATTATTTGGTGCGTTCTTGAGTGCTTTGGGCGGCTGGATTAGATATTCAGGGTGTTTGGTAAACGCTGTTAAGGGCCGATATGCAATAATAATTATTGGGCAGATTGTCTGTGCAGTCAGCAATTGCATATTCCTAACGGCGCCAACCAATTTCGCAATGACCTGGTTCAGTGACGGTGGAAGGACGACAGCAAATATGGTTGGATCGGTTGCAAACCCACTCGGAGGAGCTGTAGCTCAAATTCTTATCCCGAGTGTTGTTACTGAAGAGAGTCGTCTTCCGCTCGCTTTAATTCTGACTGCATCAATAGCGACTGTGACTGCGATTCCAGTGTTATTCTTGAGAGACAAGCCTCCATCTTATCCGTCGTTCTCTGCGTCCCAGCCGCCGGAGAAGTTTGGTTCCGGATTTAAGAAACTATTGACAAATTGGAACTTTTTGGTCATCTGGATTGCGTTCACAACGATAGTTGGCTTCTTCAGCGCTTTTCTGATATTGATGAACGATATCCTGTCACCGTATGGATATGATGAGACCAAGAGTGGAATAATTGGCGCAGTTACAATATTGAGTGGATTGGTTGGCGCGGGGATTTCAGGACCATTGATTGATAAAACAAAGGCATATAAGACGCTTATTAAGAGTGTTACGCCTGTAGTTGGAGTCGGATTTTTTTTACTTCCTTTCGTTGGTAAGTTAAGTAATGGCCATCATATAGATATGATCAACAGCTACTGATAACATGTCGATAGCATTGATTCTAAAGCTATAAGCCATCTATGCATTCTGAGCTGTACAGCTATTCAAAGATATTTACTAAGTTTACTCTCTACACAATACTAGTACGAGAAAACGCTTATGCTGAAATTGCGATCGTTTGCAGTCTTATCGGATTTCTATCCTTTTCGTTGCTGCCAGTTGCCTTGGAAATTGGTGTTGAATGTAAGCATTACTATAGCGAACAAAGATAGCCATTATCAGTCTCAATCGTATTCTCCGCTAGATTGATAACGAATGGTTTGCATTTTGTTTTTTTAAGGCACATTTCCGGTATCTGCTAATACATCAGCAGCTATTCTGTGGCTTGGAGGTCAGGGTGGCGGAGTAATATTTACAATTGTAATGGATCAATTGAGACTTCCTGATGATGCCAACAGGCCGCGAGATATGAAAAGAAGTTTGTACTTCCAGGGTATAGTTGCATTGGTCTTATCATTTACAGTTTTATTTTATAATTCGAAGAATTTGAGGTTGGAAGCAGAAACAGCTGTCACGAAAAGGAATCAGATGGAGAAAGCCGAGACTAATGATGTACTTGTTTATGGAAAAATTGGTTAATTTATAATTTATTTTCACAACACATTCAGGAATGTGTTTATTAGTATACCGGGTATTAATTACGTGTGATAAAAGTTTGTCGCTGTGATTGGATACATGAGATTCCATAGTTTATAACTCATCGCAGCACTACTATGTTGTCCGCACTGCACTTTTTAATTTTTCATAAACGCTAATAATGGCACCAATCAAAATAGACAGTCTTTTTTGTTAGCGCGGACAATCAAAAAATTCTTTTGGGCACAAGGTTAATTCTTTACAACAATAATATTTTTTATCTCAATTTACATGTTGTCATTTGTTATGGAGTCTAGATAATCGCTAGGACGTTTGTAATGATGTTGGCTAATACTAAAATAATGATATTATTATAAACAAATAAACCTGTCCACAGTCAAGAAAGACTTGTTGACTGTTTGATGTCTATGTACACGTGCCAAGTATAACCGCGAGTTGTACAAGCATCTCACATAAGGCTGAGGGGGGAAATTAATTGCTGATCGCTTTAAAGATGTCTTTCCAGGAAAGCGCCGAAGCGGAAATCTCTCGGTTATTCCGAGTATATAGAACCGTGCACCAAATGGCACATCATAGGGTAACTGTCAAGAGCGAGAAACAGCCGGTTTACGAAGCGATGGAAAGTTGAAACAAGGAGATCGCTCTCAACTTCCTCTGCCCGTAAACATGTGTTCTGACGTGAGACTGTGATATGCTTCATCGTCCTACAAGTAAGACTAAGTCATTCTTTACTCATAGACCATTCCAAAAAATCCTCCGCATGATACGATTAGGGATACGTGGTGGCAGAACAAGAATTAAACCCGGATATGGATTATTTTCGAACTAAATGCGTAAGGAATGGGAAGGTTTCGTAGGTATTCATTTCGTGTGCAACTTGCTTGCAAAAATAAGTATTAACAGACAAAATTGAAAATTTTGCGACAATGGATATATTGCGGGACTCAAGTATTTTTTTCTTTTTCTAGACGCGACGAAATGATGTTCCAAGTGCAAAAAAGTGATAACCCAACGGAACAGCTTTTGGTAACCTTTCCCAATGAGAAAACTGTTGGTGTGAAATATTTAAAACAGTAAGTCTTGTTCGGATTGACTATTGGCTGTCGATATACCCCAAAAAATATTTTATAACCTCTCTTTTGATTCCAACAACTCAGGATCTGTACAAAAATGGTAGACCAACGCGTCTCTCGCGGAATAATAGTCTATCAAGGCACCTTGACATCTGCTGCGAACAAAGCCATTCAATCTCTAAACCAAGGAATTAGTGACAGGGGACCCGACACCTTTACATATGAATTGGATACGTTCTCAGAGTCGGAACTTTTAGTTAACATTACCGAGCATCAATTAGTACCGCATCATACTCTATTAACAGATGAAGAGAAAAAAGCCTTGCTAAAGAGATAGTAAGTGTATCTTAATAATAGCATTATCTTGAGCAGCAAATCTTACCATGGAACAATTGGATTGATTTTTTCCTTGGCCCCATTACAGTAGACTAAAGGAAACACAATTACCAAGGATTCAAATAACTGATCCCGTGGCAAGATACTACGGTTTGAAACGCGGTCAGGTGTGTGATATTATTCAGATGTTGAGTTTCAGCATGTTCTTAACTAATTGAGACTTTTAATATTAACAAGGTGGTAAGGATAGTACGAGCTAGTGAGACGGCTGGTCGATATGTTACATATCGTCTTTGTCTTTGAGACGGCAGGGCGATTATAATAGTGTATTGATAAAATAACATATCTAATAAAAATATGTTGGTGTATGCAATCTCCAAGTTATTGAATAATTGGTAATGACGTTCATTAAACCCTATCGGTAAATAGAGATTAGGCACGAGTCGACTATTTATATCGTGCAGCTTTATTAAGATCTGCTCTTTGAACTTTCATATCGATTCTGATAGCGACGATTTCCATAACAATCGGTATAGTCAAATTCAAATCGTACTTAATGTTCCGAATCAATTTTTGCTTCCAATTGACAAAAGTTACGTTTAACAAACATGTAAATTATGAGAATTGGATTCTTGGTTGTTGGGTTAGTAATGATTGATGACAAAAATTGATTTCGTATATGAGAATCAAGACCAACATTAGTTTTTGTGTTGACCATGAGAGCATTGCTAAGGAAATTCTAGAGGCAGTTGACATTTTAGATAATATTTATGAATTTTTACTGATCCTCTATTACTATTACTAAACTTCAATAATATGTATTATTTCAGCGAATGTCTAACTCATTCTTCCTCTTGTTGCAGGGCAGACACATACAATTGTAGAAACTGCCAGCATCTCTACCACCACGAGCATCTACAATTCCTCACTGCTGTTGGGGTGATCGAATTTCTACGAGTTGTTCGCGGTGGTTTGCATGCGCAATAGTATTAATTTTAATAGTAGGATCGCACAAACATTAGGTAGCCTGCTTCCTCATTCAAATAAACTCCTAGCCTAATCCCGTTTATATACCTTTTGCGATATTCTGTCCAGACTTTATATTGGTCCTTATAGCAATCAGTTCTGTCAAAATAAATACTTTTTCTACTGCTGGCATTGAGAGCAATTAATAGGTTCTACGCAACTACTTCTTTTTCCCTAGACCTGATCTAAAATACGCAATATCACCATCTTCCATTACATAGTCTTTACCCTTTTGTGCATACTTTCCGGCAGCTTTAACAGCAGCCTCTGAACCATGTTCTTTGAGATCCTCATATTTCATGATTTCAGCCAAAATAAAGCCCTTTTCTAAATCTGTATGGATGCTGTTTGATAGATAACATGTGTAAGTTGACGGTTACTGCGAAAAGAGAATAGCGTTACAGAGATTTAACGTTTGATGTCAACTTACACTCCTGCGGCTTTTGGTGCCTTTGTTAGTTTCTGTTAATATTTACGAGCCAAATCAATATTAAAATGAGTCGCAAAGTAATAATCACTCCCATTGAATACTGATTCCCATTTATGCTTACCCTAATTGTCCACGCTCTCACTTCATCCGGTCCACAAGTGAAGAAATAGATTAATTGTAATGTTTGATAACCAGCAACGATTATCTTAGGCAAGGCAGAAGTTGTTTCCAATTCCTTCAGCATTGCTTCTTTTTCTTCTATGGACTTTTTCACTGATAAGCGTTGTTCTAAATTAGCGCAGAATGGAATAATAAGGTCTCCCGGGTTATTCTCATCGATCCAAGCTTTAATCTTGGGTAACCTATACAAACAAATGAGTGACAAATGGTACTTGGAAGAAAGGTATGTACAGTAGCGCGCAAACGCACTCACCACTTGTTTTTCTTTCGAACGTAATCTTTCTGGCTTAAATTAACAAGATAGATCACTGGTTTTGCAGTTAAAAGTTGAAGAGAATTGATTATTTCAACCTAATCGGTGAAAATAAAATAATCGTGAACATCTACTACAATATATAGTCTACACAAAAAGTGGTGCATTGAAAAGAAACTCACTTCTTTATTACTCCAGTTTTCCTTTCGCACATCTTTGCCGTCATCTTTTACTACACCGAGAATTTTCTGTGTGATTTCCTAAATACAACGGCTACGAGTTAACATATAGTTAGGAAAACATGGAGCAGGGCATTGCAATACAGTGCCTCCATCACATACCAATTCTTCTTTTTTGGCCTTGTCGGCCGCACTACCACCCTTTCCTATACGCGCAGTAACCTTGGCAAGATCCTCAACACGTTTTGTGAGAAATTCTTCATCTTTGAGACGCAATTCTGTATGGATAATGTCCAGATCTCGAACTGGATCGACTTCACCTTCAATATGTGTCACTTCTTCATCGGAGAAAGCCCCTACGATCAAAACGTGTAAACAGGATTAATCACATGTGAAAACATGGTAGATCTTATAAATTTTTTTTTAAAAAAAAAAAAAGAAAGTACTAACGGATAACGTGAAATATAGCATCTACAGCACGAATATGGCTTAAAAAGCTATTCCCTAAGCCTTCTCCTGTAGCAGCCCCTTTTACAAGCCCTGCGATGTCAATTACCGTTAAATAAGCTGGGATTTTTGACTCTGGGTTATATATTTCACATAACCAATCGAAACGAGGATCTGGCACTGCTACGCGAGATTCTTCGGGATCTGTTTGAAATATCATACATCAGCATGTTAACAAAAGAAAAACGTTTACAAGCCTTCACAGTCGACATATTGTTAAAAATTAGTACCAATTGTACAGAATGGACGGTTTTCAGCTGGTACAGCACTATTTGTAATTGCATTAAAAAACGTCGATTTGCTGAAAAAAAGATCAAAGCGGCAATAGACATGCAGCAAGTTAATAAAAGTATACAAACGTTGCTCAAAAATAGCATCAGTTTCGTATAAATGGTAGGAATGGAAAATGCTTGTCAAAGTTAAAATACGTACCCTACATTAGGCAAACCGACGACACCAATCTTCAAGTTATTACCTGGTCTACCCAGTAATATCTTTTCTTCTTTTATCACCTTTTTTGGTGGCATTCTACGAAATAATACTGCGCTAATCTGTATTGATCTAACGGTCGAGTATGTTTGGCGTCCAAACGTCAAGACAGTGAATAATGCTCGCATTACAACGCTAATATTGGGAAATGTGATTTCACGTGGCCAAGTCTATCCATCAGTTACTAAAATCATTTTGATGTGATCGGCATATTATTTAAGCAGCGCGAACGTTCTCAAGGCAGATATTTTCCACTAATAAAATGCACTTACAGATGACACTTCTGGACTTTTCGCTTTCTGAGTGATATGGTCTCTTTTGTTTATAATGTACAGTGGTGGGAGTTTCGCAGGAATGTAGATGTTTAACGGGAAATTTAAGCCAACGCAATTGATAGTAATAGGTATCTTAATCTTCATGAAGTATTTATTTTTTTTTTTTCGTACAATCGATTATTGTACCAATAACTATGAGGCGCTAAATGGAACATTGTCATATGCACCAAGAAATATATGCCTATAGAGATAGAAAATACGCTGCATCCATTAGTATCTTTCCCAAAATTTCGAAGTTTACAGACATATCGAATATCGCCTCATTTCGAGGCTTCGGTTGGCCGGCCAGCAGCAGCAGTCGTTTGTTGATAACCGTAAACCTGTGTTGGAGGTTGTTGATTTAGTCGTTGTGAAAGCGGCTGCGCGTGTTGCTGCTGTTGCTGCTGCTGCTGTTGTTGCTGCTGCTGCTGTTGTTGTTGATGCTGTTGGTAATACTGTTGGTAATAATTCTGTTGTTGGCTGTATTGATCTTGGGTGTATTGAGGGTAATAACCTGAATATGTCGGTTGTGGGGGTGACGATTGATCTCTAGCATCTTGCGCATTGGATGCTGTAGCTGGAGTATATGCCGTAGTCGTAGCCGAACTTGGATAGGTGCTTGTAGGGGTAGAAGTAGGGTTAGGCATACTTGGATACTGAGCCACTACGGGTCGAGCTGCACTGTAGTTATACTGATATTGTTGGTAGCCATATTGTGATGATGTGGATGGCGTCGATATGTCTTGTTTGATTTCGGTTCCTTGGGGTGACTTTTTGATATCGGTTGGTGTTGGTTGTGTTGAGTAATAGCCTGTTTTGGAATATGGAACTGTTTAATGTCAGACTAGTTAGTTTCACTCACGATTAATATTAACACGTCAATTTACCTTGAGATTGAGCTATCGTCTGGGGTATCGTCTGATTGACTGGTTGCCCCGTGGCTGTTGGCTGTCCCATTGGTTGTGCAGTCTGAGCAACAGTCTGAGCAGCAGTCTGTCCCACTACCACTGCAGTAGACTGTTGTTGACTGTATTGTGATTGTTGTGGATATGAGCCATAAGGTGGTTGTGTTTGATATTGACCATAAGTGGTTGGTGTCTGGTTGTAACCACTACCATACTGACTGTAATTAGTTGATGATTGAAGTCCGGATGACGCGTATGCAGTATTATAACCACTGGATAACGGATCGCCAATTGTGTTCGTTTGTCCATATGTGTTTTGTTGTGATGGCTGAGAGGGATAAGTATTCTGCGTGTAATTAGTCTGTTGATATCCAGTGCCCTGTTGATAGTTACTACTTTGTGTATATCCGCTTTGCTGGTGTCCACCTAAATGTGAGTAATTGCTGCTCTGTTGATAACCCGTCGTCTGCTGATAGCCGCTATTTTGTGGATAGTTTCCTGGTTGTTGATAACCGCCTTGTTGATATCCACTTCCGCTCTGTTGGTATCCGCCACTAATGAATCCGTGATAAATGTTCAAAATACTACGCTGCTATGAAAACGCTCAGACCAATGCCTTGTCTCCCGCTCTTACCTCCTTCCGTAGTCCGGATGTCGAGGCCTATCACGCTGTAAATTAAACGAATATACACGACAACAAGAGCAACAGAGAGAAATACGATACATTCATCAACAACAAACAAACCATTATCATTACGAGCATTTTACGATAAAAAACGATAGCAAGACCACTCAACAAGCGATAGTGAACGACATATACATTTCCAGACGCAGCTTTTTCAAGAATTAAAGATTTCGCAATAGCAATAGTCTCAGATGTCCCTACAACGATACGATTTACATCGAAATAAACGCAAGGCAGCGATCGAACGACTGACATTGAATCGACAAGCAGGGCCAATTGCGAGCATGTGCAATTAGGATAGTTAATTATTCGTACACTTACCGATTATATGCACGTTTCTATCTGCAGTCGATGGTCCATGGTCAGATTCTATTTGAATTTTAGCACCCGATTGTTGTTGAAGAGTCTTGACTGTCTCACCGCCTTGAAATGAAAGGGGAGAAGAGGCGTCGATATCATAGTGACGTGCAATCAGCAATAAGTAATCGGCAAAATATTAATAAAATTAGATTTATCAACGTGCCTACCTTTCCCAATAATCAATCCGACTGTATCGTTTGGCACTTGAATTGTGATCTTTTCCTGAGAGGGCTTCCCACCGTACTGTCCTCCCGGACCATAATGACTATCTTTGTAACTGCTTCCATGACCGTCACCACCATAGACGCTACCTCCACGACTAGAACCACCATAGTCTTTGGAGTTTGACTTCAAACCGATTTAAACCAATGGTAAATTAGTATGAGTAACATGCGTTTATGCTCTTTTATGTAAATCGCATTTTCATGTCATACAAAGTCCATACCCTATCCAAAGCAATATCGCCACCATTGATGACTTCATCGATTAACGCCTTTGCTCTCTGTATCGCAGCCTCGTCACCAACCAAAGTCACTGGACGATCTGCAGATTGAACTGTGGCAGCATTATCTGGTGTAACATTTATTCGCGCACCACTTCTATCTTGTAGATCACGTATAGTTTCGCCACCACGACCTATTATCACACCCACTTTACTACTCGGAACGTGAATGGTAACCGTAACACGATTAGGCCCGTAGTCTCCGCGACGATTTGCTTGGCTGGTGAGAGACTCGTCGACAAGTGATTGTATCATGGTTCGCGCACTTCTGACTTCTTCTGGAGAACCAGCAATAGACACACGCCTGTCAATACAGTCTGGTGGTTGATCTGGACGATTGAATGATATGATTTCGATGACAAAATAAAATATGTAAATAGTGAGGCAAACAATGTCTCAAATTGTCTAAACTAAACCGTGTTCAACACAACCTTGCGAAAACTGAATTTTGGCTCCCGTGTTCTTTTCAATCTTCTTTATATTTTCTCCGCCCCGTCCAATAACAGAGCCGACAACTACGTTGGGTACAGAAAACTCCTCGAGAATCTGTCCTGAACGTAACGATTCCCCGGGACCGTAATACGATCCATGTTGCCTATGACGTTCTTCACTTCCGAGGCCATAACGGTGTCTACTTCCACCTTCATCTGATAGGATGGATTGTCAAGTTAAGATATTACAAGTGAAAAGCACATCATTGAGGCGCTAATTCAAGAACATCACAATCGTAAGCAGAGGATACAATCTGAACGCGAAGATCCGCCATCGTAAGCAGCTCTTTTTGAATCACGACCATAGTCATCATGCCTGCTCCTATCGCGTCTGCTATAAGAATCTCGCCTATAGTCGTCACGATGATCGTCTCGTTTATCTCTCGAACTGTGGCTGCTATAATTCTCTTCGTGGGAACGCTTGACCCCTTGATGACCGTGACCATGACCTTGAGGAGGGGTCTCAGTAACGTCGGCTGTTGTGTTCGCTGCTTGTACTGTTGTCGGCTGTTGTGTATTTGTTCGCGCTGCTTCTTGCTGCAATTTAGCAGCTATTGCACGGACTCTAGCCATTGCATCATTAAATTGCACTTCACCAGAATTAGACGTTAGTGAAGGTGGGGGCGAAACCGCTTTATATTCTGCTGATTGTTGGGTGTTTTGTTCAGATTGTTCAGTCGGCTGTTCGGTCGGCTGTTCGGATGGCAACTCGGTTGGCTGTTCGATTGGCTGTTCGATTGGTTGTTCAGTTGGCTGTTCAGTTGCCGTTGTTGGTTTCGCGTTGAAAGTAATATTATTATGTGGTTGCTCACTGTCTTGCGCTACAATCAGATCATTTGACGCTTCATTATCGGAGGTATCTTTCGGGAGAGTGACCGCTTGTTGAGCAGTTGGTGCTTCGTTTGGTTCTGCTACCTCGGGTGCTACTTCTTGAGTTATTTCAGCTGCTTTTCCGGGGGAAGAAGGCGCGTTCGGATCGGCATTTAACGTCTCGACTAAAGCAGTGGTTTCTATCGTTTCGGTCGCTGTAACAGGGGTTCGATCTGGGTTCTCGTTTTCGGCCATAGCTCACGGAACAGAACTCGACAGTATTTTCGTGGTAGTTCAAGGTCATCCCACTTTTATCGTCGCACAATTTTTGGCGCGATCAAGTCTTATGGTCACATGACTAATCTCTGATGAGATGTTCAACCGATCTCCACTATAATATATAACGAAATCACCTGTTTACAAATAAGAGCCCGGTTTTCACTATTGTTATGCATATTTGGCATGATGTGAACTTCAAGTCTGCAACAGTAATAGACCAAACACTTTGAAACGCTGAAACTTTGACCTCGTTCTCTCATCCTGCCCTGATTCGATCACCAAACAATTCACTTAGATTTATTAATATGTCGAATTTATTAATATTAACTATCTTTCATTATATATAGACTAAAAAAAATCAAAAGCGAATTTAAATAAGAATAATACAGGACAATAAGTGTAATTAATAAATGAAGTGAGTAAAGAATGTTATCCAACTGACTCCTTTGCGAAAATGCCACTTTCCTTCTTTACTACTTAGCACATATCAGTTAACTACTTACTCTTTTGTTTTAGCCCCAAATATAACAGACGTTTCTGCTGCGGGAAACTTGAATTATTTGTAATGTCTATGGAGATATTAACGGTCTTGAAGGAGAAACCTTGGAATATGATTACGGAAACACTAAAACGTTTATTTGAACATGTATGAAAGCATTTATATGTTATTTATGTTGGCTTTTAAAAATTTATCCATTAATTCTAATTTAATAATATAGTTAAGTTTATATACACTTTCTTGAGTAATTTTGTCTATTAATATTAATAAGTCTCGTTGCTTGAACTTTGGGCCTAATTTCGTTTGCGATGCAATAGTATAGAATATATCTACTATTTACCAACTTTCAAATAGGGTTTGTATAGTAATAGTAAGATATTATTGGATAATGTTACGTCATATGGGACAGACTGCAGCAAATCAGATAAAGTGAATGTTTGATATGTGAGCTAATGTGGCTGGAAAATAACTAACATTTTGGGAAGACATTGGTTTAGTAGCATAACTTTGGCTCATGCACAACCTATTACTATGGACTAAGTTCATATAAAGCTCTCTACTATTATTTGAAGTTATGACATGTTTCATAGTAATAGGCCTATCTTTGTATAAAAATATAAACATACTAAATGGGGCAGACTGCAACAAAACCAGACAAAGTGAACATTCTATAAAATGAGAGGCTGATTATGATGTGGCTGTAA